GGATGAGCCGTGCAGCATGAGAAACAGTTCATGCCAAACACCGTTGCGAGGGGACTTTTACACAACCGTTTCCAACTAAAAACGGAAAACTTTGGCCATTCATGACAAATATTCAGCAAAACCACAACACAAACATAGAACGATTTTGAAAGTTGCAGAAGAAATGTTTCTCACAATATATGCTCTGCTTTGGCTCCACGGATCACGGCTCGGCTCATTTGTTGTGTATTTGCGACCGCAGAGTGAAACTTAGACTCATGGGAAATCATTTGGAGGCCACTGAGAGGAAAACTCATTTTAGTCACAGTACTTAAGAGTTCGAAGTAAAAGCATTCTGACTTAAAGACCGCAGAGGCCTTTCCTCCCGAAGAAGAATTCCTGTTATTGTGTTTTACCGTATAGCAAAACACGTCAGCTCAGTGGCTGCTGGAATAGGTCATGACAGCCTTGTGCTTTCATCTCAGACGAATGCAGAGGAAGTCTAGTTAACCCCTGTGCCCTGTTGAAACCGGCTCGAACCGAGCTTTAAAACCAAGCCCACATACCCAACAAATTCTTGGAGCGAGATCTCGAACCTGATCCGAAACATTCGGCCACATACTCGCAGAAGCATGCACGATCATGTGATCCCGACATATGTTTCCATTCTGTTAAAAAGCCCTGGAAGTTTCCGTTTGACGGGAGACAGAAGTGCAGTACAGGGGCAGAGTGCATCTGGCTGGCACACAGCCAAGTCTGAGAGATCCCGAAACGCTCAAGCCGGATACCATGCAGACAGACCCGGTTAGCACGGAGGTCACACTCCTGATTTCCATGTACAACCGTTTGCACTTTCACCAGGTTAGGAGGTCCCATCAAGGCGAGATTTGTGTGAAATAAACCTCACTTTTTCAAAGTTGTTCCTTGTGAATTGAGTCACCTCTCTTCCTTTTTACTCTGCTATGGGTTGAGGGTTCGCTCTGCTTTGATAGATGTCGTCCCATCTGTTAGGCTACTTTGCATTCAGAAATGCAGAATCTGAGTTATAATGGCTCCAAAAGCAACATAATTGTAGAGCATTCTCAGAACAAATGTAACTTTTTTGCTATTACACACTGTAAACAAAATATGTATGGTTTAACTTAAAAAAGTAAGTAACCTGGTTGCCTTAAAATTCTAAGTTCATTGAACAGGAAAAAGTGAGTTAATACAATGAAGGAGATTAATTTAACCATCAGAAAGTCAAAATTATATGTTATCTGAACTAAATAAATTATTTAAGTTGATTTGACAAAAGAAAAAATGTTGTGATTACTACACTGTAAAAAATATTGTTGGTTTAACTTAAAAAAGTAAGTAACCTGGTTGCCTTAAAATTTTAAGTTGATTGAACTGGAAAAAGTGAGTTAATACAATGAAGGAGATTAATTTAATCATCAGAAACTCAAAATAATAAGTTATCTCAACTAAATAAATTATTATAAAGTTGATTTGACAAAAGAAAATGTGTTGTGATAACAAATCTTGAAAATATTTTAGTAAACCAACTGGTGTCAATGCGATTTTGTGTGTGTGTGTGTGTGGTATGAAACAAATCAGTTCCCTTTCTTTTTTTGCAAGTTGGTATGAAATCTATTTTCTAAATGCATCTTAGTGTGAATGACTCATCCATGCATGTCACATTTTTTAAATATTTTTTTCTTACCTGGTAATATTTTTAATCAAAATAACGTCCAGAGAAATGACAGACTTCTCTCTCATGAGGTATGCAGGATTTCTCCAATCCATTTAGTTAGCTTGCACACTTTTCTTTTAGATGCCTGCAAGCTCACATTCACATGAATGGACAGAGCCAAATCCTCAAATTCCATTTCATTGTGACTAAATACTTTGCTTGTACTATTTGTACTATAAAAAATAGTTTGCTTATGCCATATTAAGCTTGTTTATAAATGACACATTAATAGTTTGTTCTTAAATGCATTGATATACATACTTTTTAAAGTCACCCTTGGTGAAAATCAAGCTTTTAATGTTGTTTATGATTATTAGGGACATCATACTAATACTGTGTTTAACCCGTTCCTGGGAAGCTCCCGTTCCACCACATCCCAAAGATGCTCTATTGGGTTGAGATCTGGTGACTGTGGGGGCCATTTTAGTACAGTCAACTCATTGTCATGTTAAAGAAACCAATTTGAAATGATTCGAGCTTTGTGAAATGGTGCATTATCCTGCTGGAAGTAGCCATCAGAGGATGGGGACATGGTGGCCATAAAGGGATGGACATGGTCAGAAACAATGCTCAGGTAGGGACGATGTCCATTTGGCACTAAGGGGCCTAAAGTGTGCCAAGAAAACATCCCCCACACCATTACACCACCACCTGCACAGTGGTAACAAGGCATGATGGATCCATGTTCTCATTCTGTTTACGCCAAATTCTGACTCTATATCTGAATGTGTCAACAGAAATCTTTGACTGTCCAATTTTGGTGAGTTCTTGCAAATTGTCGCCTCTTTTTCCTATTTGTAGTGGAGATGAGTGGTACCCGGTGGGGTCTTCTGCTGTTGTAGCCCATCCGCCTCAAGGTTGTGTGTGTTGTGGCTTCACAAATGCTTTGCTGAATACCTCGGTTGTAACGAGTGGTTATTTCAGTCAAAGTTGCTCTTCTATCAGCTTGAATCAGTCGGCCCATTCTCCTCTGACCTCTACCATCAACAAGGCATTTTCGCATAAAGCATAAGTTACAGTTATAAAGAGTATAAAGCATAAGTTACAGTAAAGGTGCTAACATAATATTTGGTGGCACTGCATGTTTCGAGAAGCCAGGAGAGTAAAGCCTTGTTTTGATGACTGAATTCGAAGATGAAATATCAAAAGAATGAAACGTGCAGCTATTAGAAAACTTTAACAGAGACTTTCAAATGCCATATCAGTATGTGGTCTCAAGTCTTGAAAAACACACACAAAGCAGATTAGAAACATTACATGAGTGCAAAACCTTCCATTAATCCATAACTGTCTAGAAGAGAAATCCGAGGGGAGCGAGTTCAAGGCTCTGTTATAATAAAAGCCATCTTTCCTTCTCCATTGTTCTGGCTAAAATCATACGAGACTCTCGGTATAAATGGTGGAACTAACTTAATTATGAAAATCCTCCTGCTGCATTGAAAATGGGCTGCAGTAACAGGGGAATAAAATCTGTTATCCAGACGTGTGTGTGTGTGATACCCACCGGGCTTCTCTGCCGTATTAAAAAATCCCTATTGCACTTTGTATTTATCCATTTTTAATGAAGTGTCTCAGCTGTGTGTGTCTCTGAATGAGATGAGAAAGGGAAAAGGGGAGAGGGATGGAGGGAAAGATTTGGACAGGCCTGTTGACAGGAGAGAGACGCCCTCTGTTCTCTCCCGGACGCCCCTCTCTGAGAGGACCAGAGGTTGCGTGATGACATCACCTTCAGCAAACCATGCACCGAAACTGCTTTTCTGTCCTGTGTGGATGTATTTTCTTTTGAAACTGGAAGTAAGGATAAGGAATATTGAAAATGTTTGTAAAAAAATAAATAAATCACGAGTTGTCTTTGGCAGGTGATGGTGGGAGAGACATTGTTATTCAAGAGAGCATGTGATAGGACAGAAATCTGTGTAGTGCAACATGAGAAATCAACATTGTTGGTCTGTTTTGGTGGAAGACGAAAGATGATTTAATACATGGCTTTTGCCCAGATCTTTTATTCAAACTATGACTCCATATGAGCCGAAGATATCAAACATGTTTAATATTTTGATTGGAACTCAGAACACATAGTTTTCATATGTAATGCACACAAACAATTTTCTGTGTGAGTTAGTTGTGTTTGTAAGAACTTCTGTAGGTTTGTGATCCTCAGTTGTTTAGTGTATGAATTTTTTCCTGCAACCATTGCCGTGTCGACAACTGTATGAAACCTAGCGTTTCAAAATCTACTGCGTAGTTTATTCCAGCCTTTAGCAGTACAGTAGATGTTTTAATGTAGATGCTTCACCGTAAAAATGACTGAATTTAAAATGTAATAAATACATTTTCTTGAAAGTTAACCATTTAAAATTGATAACATTTTTTTGAAACAAAAATATCTGAATAACAGACTGACGTCAAAGATGAATTAAGAACTATTTTATTTGCCATCATTGAAGACACCTAATGTTAACAAGAATCACAAACCGTAATTTAACCGTAAACCAGAAATTGTAAGTCACCATTGTGGTGATCAGTGTGTGTTTTAGTTGGGCTCTTGACCCTTATTTCATTAACTTTAGATGCTGTTTGGCTGTTATAAACACATAGAAATGATGATCTGATGGTGTTGGTTATGTTTTAACATAATCATTATTTCACAATCATTTGACCTGCTTGTTATTATCAGGTGTCTTCAATGTTGGCAAAATTCATCTTTGACGTCAGTTTGTTTTTCCGATATTTTTGTTTAAAAAATGTGTAAATTCTACTCATTATAAAGGGGAAATGAAGCAATGAATCAAGTTTACATGCTTTACAAGATGGATTTCCAATATAATCAACAATTATATAAGAAACATAACAAATGTAAACATTTAGAAGAAAAAAAGAAAATATGTTTCTTATATAATTGTTGATTATATTGGAAATCCATCTTGTAAATCATGTAAACTTGATTCTCATTTCCCCTTTAAATGGTTAACTTTTAAGAAATGCATTTGGTTAATAATTACTCAATTCTAATTTTGTTAAATGTAATTAATAATATTGATTGTATTCTGTTGCCTCAATTTTATTGATTAGATTTAACATATTCAGTCATATTCATTTTTACAGTGTTGTTACATTAGTTGTTTAAAACGATTTGTTCTCCTTTTCTTTGTTTCTGTTGGAAGGCCAGTGTATTGGTGAAGAGAGGTCTTGATGGGAATGAGGTGGGATTCACAAAGACCCGTATTGTGACAATGGTGTCTGCTATACACAACCCGTAGGGAAGACAACACGAAAGCACCAGTTAAACCGTTTCATAAGCTGTTTATTTATCTAGTGAGTTCATCTCTTTAATTTCTGCACAGCAGCATACAGGGAAATTGTGACAAAATATAAATAAGAAAATCCAACAGTGTTTCTTTTTTTTTTTACTCTTTTAATTTAATTACAAAAGTGGCAAATTGGTTGATGTCTTCAACATTTGATTCTCAGTCTCACAAACCAAGAATGTCACATTGAACAACAACTTAAAATGCATGACGTCATCATCATGATTATTAATATTATGTACAGCCGTCACCTAGCAAACAATGCTTAGAGCTTATTGGGATTTCACTTTCGTCCGTAGAATGCACTGGAAAAAAAAATACAATTATGTTATACAAAGATCAAAAATATTATTATAAACCCTTGTTATAAATGGTACACTATATTAATAAACTGCTGTTGACATTTTACATGTAAGTACAAAATCTCGGTGAGGTAGTTCCCTCTGAAGTCACTTTTTAAAGGTAAAATACTGAATAGACATCACTAAATTATTTTCCATTTTTCTGTAATTATTTACAGTACAGCAAATCCTCACTTCATTAAAATTGAATTCCTTTGGTAAACACAACTGTCAGAAATGTGCAGTCCTGCAAGTGTCAAATTGTACATTCATGTTTGCATCCTTTTTCGTTCTTGTTTTTTTGGGGGGGTATATTCTTGTACATAATGCAAAAAGGGGCAAATACATTGTTTTTACAAAAAAGCTTTTTATTAAGAACATTCATACGTGCTTTATTCCACCGTGGAGAACTGATTCGTTGTTGGTTTTGTTTTTCATAAACCTCTCCCTTTCTCTTTCGCTCTGCCAGGATGTTTTGGAGAAAGGTGGACTTGGTATCGAGCTGAAGAGAGGCACCCATAGGATTTTTACTTTCCCTCCAGTGTGTGTTCCCCTCCCTCGGGGTGTAAACATTGAAAGGGCACCTCATACAGAAGAATAGCCTGCGGTCACACTTTACATTACAACGTTCATGTTTAGCAACACTGCTTCTTTAAGCTGCAGGAAATTCACTTGTTGTTATCAATATGGTTACATGGACTCTGCAATGTAAAATGCCCGACTCTGTCGGTGGGGTTGGAAATAATTTGGCCGATTATGAAGTTATGCTGACAACATGAACGCGCAACAGAGCCTCTATTGTGTTGCTCTGCGCGCCCGTGCTCGCAAATCTCAGGAAATTGTGGAGTGGACTTTCAGGAGAGAGCGGAATGGGACTCAAGATCATAAACGAAGACATGTGGAACATTCTTTAAAATCGCTTAATGGCAAACTAAACTTTGGTTTAAAGACAAAAAACGAGGTGCAAGCTTAGCTTACAGTAAAGAAAATACTTGAGTTGAACAGAAGAGCAACTCCTCTGGTGCCAACATTCACGTTTCTCCATTTTAAACAAAAATAACATCTTATTTCACACAAAATGTGACTATGAGTCGTGAATAAACATCTAAAACCTATGCGTGAAAAGGAAAAAAAAAATAGCTTTTTTTATGAATAAAGTATGCAATAAAACTATGGAAATAAAGTATCTATAAAAATATAAGAGATTTTTTTTTTCTTCGTTTAACAAAAACATTGATATCATCTTATTTGTTTGCCTAGTAGTTAAGACTCGGAAAGCCAGTCAATCAGAACAGTCATCTGAAAGAAAATGTTCAGTGCAATACGTGTAAGTCTATAGGGGGTCTTTTTAGAAGATTTTCACTCGCTTACCACCCACAGCTCTGCCTCCCTTCAGCACTCTCTGGGCAGGCTGGTCTTTGGAGAGAGGGCAGTATTTTATTGTATGCGCGTTGTCCCCGTTGGCACTGCATAGGGGGCATGTGTACGCCCGCAGGATCGGGCACACCACCCTCCCATCCGGGGTTTTCAGGACGTGCGAGCCGTACACCTCCTCCGGGGCGCCGTTATTCCGACAGAAGACGCAGATCTTTGGCTCCTGCTTGTTGCGCGCGGCCGGTTTCCTCATCTTCCTTTCCACGCCGAACAGATCAAATCCCGCGAAGCCTCCTCCGATGCCCATCTCCCGCTCCTGGGAGGAGGACAGCAGCCCCCCCGTGCCCTGGTTCTGGAAAGGGCTCAGGATGGAGAAGCGCTCTTTCAGGTCCAGGATGGAGGTGGGCGGGGGGCAGCAGCAGGAGTCCAGGTGTCCACCGCTGTCGCCTTCGCCGCCGGCCGCGATTACGCACGGGCACGGAGGGCTGTCGTCCAAGCCCAGGGTGGCTTTCAGGGACTCCGTGATGGAGTTGGGACTCTGGGGAACGCTGTGCTTGTTGTTCTTGGTGACCAGCGTGGAGAGGCCGAGATAGTCATTCCAAAAATTGAAGGTGTAATCGTAGGACGTGCGCGCGCTCAAGTAGTTGTGGTTCAAAAAATCCATGGTTCTTCGCTCAGGCAAAATGCTTCTCTCAGAGTAAAACAGATGCGATACGCGACTATATATATATTCCGTCTCCGTTTCTTTCTGTCTGCTCTCCGGGATCGTAAGTGTGCTCAAGTCCAGTGCGTTTCTTGGGTATGTGCGTCTGAAGAACAGGCATCTGGTTATAAGGCTCCAGGAGAGGCAGGAGGAGGGCGGGGCTCTTTTTCAAACCAAGTTTCTGAGCAGCAGATCCACAGCGTGTTTTCTTCCTGCATGACCAGTGACTGTTCACTGCAGTGGAATGACACCAGGCACTGCTTTGTGATGGCAAAATAGCCTAAGAAGTGCTTGTTAGAGAGAGATTACACTATTCGGATGACATTATTTTTTTTTCTTTCTTTCTTAATTAAAGGCACTTAATCATGTCCAAGATGAAAAAAAAAATTTTTTAAAAGGTCAAAACACATATTTTTGTGTGTATGCCTTTGTATTAATGTTGGTTTCACACATTTTTTCCAACAACGTTTTGATTTAATGAGTTATGAAATGTGTTTAAAAAAAGTAGGCCTACTACGTACATTGCAACAAAATCCTTTTTGACCCAGTGGTGGGGGTCTAAAGGGGTCCTTGCTCTCTATTTTATGGTCACATGACTACAAAATGGCTTCCTGTTTACTGATTATGCCATCCTGACTTAGATTTGGCAAACACAATCTTTTAAATTATTAATACTATTCTAAAATTAACTAATCTCTAAATTTTGAAGGATTATACCCTTTTTTTTTTAAAGAGTCTTTTTACAGTCTTCAGGCACACCACCCAAAATGAGTTTTAATTTGGAAATAATTTTAATTTTTAATTTGGTCTTTTTATGTTGTTGAAGTCTGGACAAAAAAACAAAACAAAAACATTAATGCTGCACATAGTTGCATGATGTCTCGTTTAACAGACCCAGCTCTCGTTCAAATGTTGAATGCTCCTCTGGCAAAATATGAAGTGAAAATGACCAGTCTATTCACAGAGATGATGCATTATTCCATGGGATTTCCTCTCTCGCCTCAGTGACAGTAACTTCTTTCTTTGGTGTGAGATGCTGGGCTTTGGGTGCACTGCCAAGGCTTTACAGTGCAGCGAAAGGAGCTGCAGTTTGTATGTGTTCAGGATTACGTGACACGATCAGATTACATGTGTGTCATTAGAAACAGAGGGTATTGGGCGCACATGGGCTCTTTGTTCTTTGAGAACATGCCATGTGTGCACCTGCGGGCCAGAGACATCGTGGAGTCGATTTTACTGTTGATTAGCATGTTTTTGTCTTTGATATTTCAGACACTTATTCAGTTTGAATGATATTTTAAATTTTATATTGACTTCTCTAAAAAAAAAAAAAAATCTGGGTTGTTTAAACACAAATTTGGGTAAAATATGGGCAAACCCAAATGTTGGGTTAAAAAGTGTAATTAAAAATATATACAGTTGAAAGTGAAAGTTGAAGTTGGGTTAAAATTTTTAAATTACATTTTTAACTCAACATTTGGGTTTGTCCATATTTTGTTTAGAGTTTTCACTGTAAAAAAAAAAATATATTGTTGGTGTAACTTAAAAAAATAAAGTAACCTGGATGCCTTAAAATTTTAAGTTAATTGAAATGGAAACACTGAGTTAATGCAATGAAGGAGATTGATTTCATGATTAGAAACTCAAAATATTATGTTATCTGAACTACATCAATTATTTAAGTTGATTTGACAAAAGAAAAAATGGAGCAATGCATTTGTGCAGTAATTATTACTAAGTTACTTACAGTGAACTTACTGTGAACTTACCTGAACTTACTTACAATGACTATACCTTAGAAAGTACTGGGTAATATAAGATAACTATGGGCCAAGGTTAGGTTTAGGAAAAGGTTCAGGGTGAGTACCTAGTTATTTTATATATATATATATATATATATATATATATATATATATATATATAACTTCAGTACATCCAATGCCACTATAAATGAGACTCGGGATTGTGAATCTTGTGTAAACTGAAAGGCTCCGGCTCAGATGACAGTAAATTTGCTCGGAGCCTGAAGATCTTTTATGCTCCTCCTGCTGTGGCCTTGACTCTGTGTGAAAAGCTGCAATGGTTGAGGGTCATTATTCGACAGGCTCTTGGCTCAGAGCTGTCCTGGATCCGGCTCAGCCCACGCTGCCCAGAAAGACATGTAATGAGCGTCTCGCCAAATTAACTCATCTTTGGGTAAACAAAAGGCTAATTTGCATTTTTGTGTTTTGTTCAAGACCCCATGATTTGGGGACACAGGTGCACAGCAGCTGATTTTGCACCCCACACATAAATAATAGCCTAGTGTGTCTGCCACAGAACATCACTGTAATAAATTAAGTGTGGTTATATTAAATGATTGATTCAGGGCTTGCCTACCACAGACAGGGAATTATGTTCACAACTCACGTGTTCGTGCAATTGGGTCCAAACTTATTTTAGGGCAGGACACCTGAAACACGCAGTACCTCAGTCCGACCACCGGGGGTCTGTGTGAGCTCAGAGGAGCGTCTAATGGGCATGACGTCATCGAGTAGGCTTATGCTGGAGAGCAGCAGCTTGTATAACAAGATCTAAGAACAATACAGTAAACACTTACACTGCTGTGGACCTGCCAGAAATAGTTGGACACAGCTGTGAATTACAATAATCACTGAGGTCATCCTTCAATGCAGTTTTCATGACCTCATTGGGGTACATATTCTTTTTACATTTATTTATGCAGGTTTAGCAGACACTTTTATCCAAGAATAATAAGCAATTTGTTAAAGAACCCACAATGTCTTGTCTTTACAATGGTGTGTAAAATGGTGTGTATGTGTTTGATGGAAATCATATTTGTTCATTTTTCTTATATCACAAGTAAACAGAGGAGTGCATTTTAAATAAGTTTCACTGTAAAAAATAAACCGTAATTCTTACAGTAAAAAAAAAAAAAAACCCGGCAGCTGTGGTTGCCAGAACTTTACCGTCAAAAATACAGTAGCAACGTTATTGGTTTTACAGACTTTAGAGTAATGAACCATATTTTATTATCTGATATAATGTTAATTTACCATCCTATTGAAGTATTAATATCTGTTTTGGACCATTGTAATACACTGACAATAGACAATCACGGTAGAGATGAGTCACGTGATCATTCAAATCTCGTCAGAAGCAGATTTTCCACAAGAGATAACTAAACACTAAACACCATCATGGTAACACACGTGACATTTTGAAAATGCAATAAACATTAATTTAACAACATTATCATAAAACATAATGTACATAACTAAGAAATCTATGAAGAAACAGTTATTTCAACAAAAATACATCAAATGAGAAGTGTGACACAGGGAATTGTGGGAATGTCAATTTACGGTTTTTCACTGTAAATTATACAATGACTTTTTCACTTCCAAAAACTTTAACCTTTTCTTTTTGTGGTAAAATTTCATTCATATACAGTACCATCAGATCTATCACAGTTATTCACCGTATATAGTAAGGAAATTTCTGTTAACCAATTAACGTTTTTTACCGTTAAAATCGTGATCATTTTTTTTTTTACAGTGTGCATGCAAACTCTTACATCCAGTATAGCCCCTTTAAAATATGCAAGCATTATTTAAAATTCAATAAAAAAGTACGGCATAACAGGAATGACCCATTTATTATTCAAAAGCATAATTACCATTCTTAACCTGTTATCTGGCAACGCTCATTTTTCAGTGGTGACTCATTACCTGCACTTAACTACATTTCAGGTTGCTGTGCTATTTATGTTTGATGACTCCAAGTTTTTAGAGAAGAAACATTAGAAGAACACTCTAAGTAATGAAGTAAGAATCTATGTAATGACAAAGGCCATTAGTATTCCCTGCAGGGAGGAGCATAAGAGTAAGATTTCTATCGATAGCAGTGTTTCCTGCCACAGCGTGGGCAGAGGCCACACTCAACCATGCTGGAGTACAAAAGGCCTTCCTCTATTCTGATTAATTATATTCCTTCAGGAATGTGGACACTGGGCTCCTCCAGCACGCCTACCATCGCCAGCCACTGTACGTCTAATTAAAAGTGGAGGAGAGCTCTGTGAACCTCTGCCAGAGCGGAGGATTAAGTCTATTTAAAGAGGGAATTCAATAGAATGCCGAATACCTTGCTGCTTATCCGAGCGGAAAGTGGTGAAGAAGATGTGCTTTGTGTAAATTTGCACTCGGCTTAGTGGCTTTTCTTTCTTATTGAGCACTGCATTGTCTGGACTTTTGACCCCTTTGGTACTGGTCGAGGTTTAGGACTACGTCGCATGTGGAGGGCAACAGGTGCAGACGTTTGTTTCAAAAGACCCTTTAGGGGTTTAGGTGGATGTGAAGAGATCTCAAGACAGTTAAAACAAGCACTCTGAATGTTTAATGAACAGTTATATAATCTGTCATTTGTTTTGGTTATTATTATTATTTGTATAACGAAAGTTGAAAGTATTTAGCCCTATGAGTTTGTAGCCAACCCGATCTCACGACCAAGTCGTACGAATTCGACGAATGATTAAAAAGTGGCTAATTCGTAACAATTCATACGACCTCACTCGTACGAATTAATACGATTTTGCTAAATCGTACATATTTTACGAATTGGCCAATTCGTATGAATTCGTACGAATGACCTTACCCCGCCCCTAAACCTAACCATCACGTGGGTTTAGACAAATCGTACGAATTAGTACGAGTGAGGTCGTACGAATTAGACACTTTTTAATCATGCGTCAAATTTGTACGAATTGGTCGTGAGATAGTGTTGGTGTAGCCAGGGAAAACCCAGACAACTTCGGGCAAATTTAGATTTGCTCTGAAAGTTAGCCTGGCAAAGAGCTCATTCAAGCCCTTTTCCAATCCGTCGAAATCGTGACAGCGCTGGGATTTTGAAGCAGATTTTGTGGCCTACATTTCAAAAATGTATGCCGCTGTCGAACATCACTCGTTCGAATTAGCTATCGCGTCTGTTTTAAGCGATTTGAACGTTTCCTTTTTGTTAAAAACCGAGCAAAAACAACACTCGGAGATGTTTCTCTGCTCTGCATACGCCATCTCCTTCATCGCTCTGATTGGTCCGTTGGTGACGCCGCTCTGGAAATGATTTGTCTGACACTTTGCCAGACCATAACTCAGTTACAACTGTTACTTTTAACCACGCTAATGAGTTTG